ACCACCTGGCGTCTGTCAGACAGGAAGCTAAGGATCCAGCTGCAGAGGGAGCTGCTCAGTCCTAGATCCTGCAGTTTCCTGTCCAGCTTCGAGGGAACGATGGTATTGAATGCTGAGCTGTAATCTACAAACAGCATCCTCACATACGTGTCTCTCTTCTCCAGGTGTGACAGGGCAGTGTGTAGTGTCAGGGCTATGGCATCATCAGTGGACCTGTTGTGGCGGTATGCAAACTGTAGAGGGTCCAGTGAGTCGGGTAGTGCAGAGCAGATGAAGTCCCTGACCAGCTTCTCGAAGCATTTGCTTACGATGGGGGTCAGGGCTACAGGTCGCCAGTCGTTCAATGAGGAGATGGTGGAGGATTTGGGTACAGGGACGATGGTGGCCATTTTGAAGCAGGCTGGGACTACAGACAGAGAGAGGGAAAGGTTGAAGATGTGCGTGAACACTCCAGCCGCGCCACTGACCCAGAAAGAGCTGAGGAGAGTCCCAGATGAGGGCTCACTCAGCAGCCGCGGAGCAGAAGCCAGGGGGAGTTGCAGTGACGCGCCCGTGAGCTCCGCCGGCAGCCAGCCGTGCCTGAGTGACCGAGCCCCAGGCCGACAGGCCGGGGGCACTCCACTCCGAAGTGGCCCGAGCGAGCCCCAGGCTCCAGGCCCCGATAAGCGGCCGCCAAGGAGTGAGCCGGTGTGTACCTGGACGCCCATCCCCGGACACAAAGAACCACCAACGCACCGATGTCTGAGGGAGTCCGCCACTGGCAGGGGAAGTGGTGGTGGGTGGAGATAGGCCTCCAAACCTTGGAGGGCCTAAGATGTCCCCAGAGAGGTGGCGCCTGACACCCAACCTGACATATAGACACAGAAATACAGGCACACACATATACAAACATCCATTCCCACCCTCATGCTCGGGCTCCGGGGGTCCACACACGAACGGGAAAGACGCCAATAGTCACACACACACACACACACACACACACACACACACACACACACACACACACACACACACACACACACACACACACACACACACACATGCTGATGCAAGGAAGAATGCTTTGCTAACAAATGCTTATGCTGATATGCAAAATGCTGCACACAAACATTCAAATACAGAATCTGTTACAAGAAGCCATCGATTACTTATTGGTTAAACGCGTTTTATGTCACCCAGAGGGCATTTATGTAGATTTAAGCAACAAGGTCTAAAACAGTTTGGTTATGAAAACAATGTCTATGTTTTCATAGCCATAAACAGACATCACAGTGTGATGTCTGTTTATGGCTCAAGGCCTTGACTGAATTGTTTACTGTGCTTCACACAGCCTGATGAGGAGCAGTGGTACAGAGTGAAAATGATGAACTAATAGTGTACGTTTTATATCGGAGCGCCGCATTTTCTGTGATTGAGACTTAATTCAAGGAGGAACAAAAGGTGCTACGGTACCTGAGGTTCTCATTCCCACACAATATTGTCCCGGGAGGAAGCAAAACTTTCCTGTGGTTGATTTTGGGGTTTTGCTTAGCACTAGGTTGATTTTATCAGTGAGGTTTGGACTGTGTTCTTTCTCTAAGAGAGAGAGAGATGATTTTATGTTTGGACATGTCTAGAACTGTCCCGACTATTTGTTATTTTATTAGTATTTTATTGGTTACGTCTGTTTTGCTTTTGTTACAGTGCACTGAGATAAGAACATTTGAGAGGTGTGATCCACCGGTGGTGATATTTTGTGAGTTCATGATTTAACAATCAGCTCTTTAAACCAGGCCTGAAAGATTGAAATTTAAAGTGCTCTGAAATATTCTTACTGGAAACAGTTGCAAAGTGCGCTTCTCCATGATTGTAATGGGCTTTGGAGAAATTCACTTATATGGGACACTGATCACATGAGATAGTCCTGAGTCTGAAAGGATTGCACGAGTCAATCCAGTGCAAAAAACAAGGAATTGTTTTCCTTTAAAATTATGACGTCACTTTGCTGGTGATGGATGCTCGAATAGGTTGAGCGAGAGACTCCGTTATCAGCAACATCTGGTGTGAATGTGTGTGGATGAATGTGTGTGACTGGACTGTGGTGGACTGACGATGTAGACTAAAAGTTTTGACTGACTTGATACTGAGACAAAAACTGCACTGAGGATTAGTAAATGTTGAGCAACAATTCACCCAGCCTGCAACAGATGGAGACTGGAGGGGGAGACTGTAGCTTCACATGAGAGTGTGGAGATGCAGACTGAACCCTTTGGTTGCTAATTTTGAGTTACTGATGTTTGCATTAAGAAAACTGTGTTTTATTAGCTGTGTTTTGATTAAGGTATCACATTATATTGTTGGGAATGCCAAATGCTACAGTGGAGAAAAGGTTTGATTTCACTCATGACTGGAATATGTTACTATTAACCAGCAGGCCACTGTAAAAAGTCAATTAAATTTTATAGAGGAAAATAGTCAAAACTTTAACAACATCTATGAATAACAGGGGAATGGTAGACTTGTCACATTCAAAATAGAGATATGTAATAACAAACACTGGTCCACGTGATTTAGGTTCTCCCTTGAAATAGTCAATAATTTAAAAAGTAGAATAGAACCGACAGGCACATGTGCTAGGATGTGCTACTGCAAAAGAACAAGAGCAAAGTAAAGAAAGAAAAACCTGTTGTGTTTAGTTTTGATAAATTCAAATCAAAATGTATGATTACACTCAGAGGATCAATATGAAATCAAATATAGGCCAATTCTGTATGAAGCATATGACTGATAACTGTTCTGTCCTGAGCTTTTGTTTTCTATAGCACCTGCTTGACCACACCACCAGTTTTCACGCATAAAGGAGGGTAATTACAAATGTTCGAGGGAGGAATATCACCAGAAGTGGGAAAGGTAAGCCCCGATGGGGGTGATAACACCATCAATTTTACTTATGGTCAAATTCTTAAAATTTCACACCAAACATAAAATTCTCCAAAACTTAAAGACAGAAGGGAGCTCTGGATAACCATAATTTGGCAAACCATATAAGGATGGAGGTTTGGAATCTATAACTGTGTGTGAAATAACACCCAGTTATGTTAATTATGTTTATTCTAATGTGCAGACATTAGCTAATCTGACCACGTAATGCAATAAACAGGACTGTCGGAAAAGTTAGCGTTAAAGTCACCTTTGACAGTCCAGACTGGGATGGCGTTGGACATCCTCAGGGTGGAGAAAGGGTTGGTGTGACCAAGGTGTGGTTTGACTTATTGTATGTATATTTCAAAATGATACAGCTCTGGATGGCCCAGTTACCAGGGCATGGAAGGATGACAGACTTTATTAAATGAGGAGAAGGAATTTTCTGGGATTGAAGGTCCTCTGGGTGAGTGCTTGACTAAAGCATGCATAAAATAAAAGCTATTTTTTGTTATTGATTGGTAATAGATTGATAATTGGCCACATTTACAGCTGTATTGACTTGTTGTGGACGCAGTCTACTTCATGTTTAAGCACTCTAATTAACAGAGTGAAAATAGTGAGGGAAAGACAGTGGGGGAAAAACTGAGTGACAAATGTGAAGTTCATCTTAATACAGGTGTTGTTTCTAGGCAGTTCTGCAGACGCAGGCTCAGGGCGGGGCCAGGAGTTTAACAGATTTAACATAATAACTAAACTGATTTCATTCCCCAACACAGGATGGCAGGGCTGGAGCAACGATACTGGAGAGGAGTGTTTATGATGTTTTCTGAGATATGATGTCACTAACCTTTTCTTTTAATTTTCTAGCTCCGATGAATTGACACATGGGAGTGTGTCAAAAAGGGGGAAGTTGAGTTTTAACATCAAACAATGGTTGTATGAACATTTTATGACTTTATTTGTGTGTTTAATAATTTAGGTATGTTAAAACTTAAGCTTACAATGACCCAAAAGTTGCCAGACTTTTTCTAGAGAGCCAGTGAGAAGCATTATTTTCATGTTTAAGCGTTAATGATTGAAATAAACTGAATAGTGTTTAGAAGACAAAATGCCTGTGTTCATGAGGAGCTGAGTATCGCACTGGAGAGGAAACTGTGGGAAGGCAGGCTGAAAGAAACACACGATTTTTGTGAAAAGGGGGGCAAATGTTAGAATTAAAAATGGTTAATTTGTTTTTGATTTCTTTTACTAAACGAAGTGGCTATAATTAATTTCACACACACATTGCAAATGTGCTCATAAGAGTTGGCACTCAGTCTTTTGAAGGTCATAAGCTTCATTCGGCGTGACGGTCTGGACTGATATATTGTAGGTATTGACTTTGAGTGCAGAGGATGCAAACACGCTTACACACACATAGATTATGTGTAGAATAATTCTCTGGGACAGAGAGTCCCAAACATGATATGCTAAACCAATTTTGAATCACTAGAGGAACAATGGATAACAACATTAGATTATTAGGGCTAGGAAGAAAGGTGTTTTGGTTTTCTGCCTTAAAGAGAAAGGAACAGACACCAGACGAGGTCACGGAGATCCTTCGCAGCAGAGATAGACGTGGAGACTGCCAAGACAGCAACTGGGGTGAAGTGTCATAGCGTTTGGGCTCCGGCTAGGCACTTCAAGAGGATGGATTATATAAGCACAGCAATAAACACAAAAGGATTGCCGGAAATCTAGGAACACCAGACCAACGAGGATAGAAAGGCTCTTGGTAAAAAAGGGGGACACAGCTGTGTCCCCAGAACACACAGATTTTTAAAATAGGGGCAGAATAATCCCCTGATCTGTGCAACGACTGAAGGGTGGTCTAACCCCTGAGGTCGAAGAAAGAAGAGGAGCGGAGAATCACCTGAAGAAGAAATGAACCCTGCAACACTGGATTGCGAGGTGTAAGTGATCTCTTTAAAAAGAGGTCAAAGGGGGAATTGTGAGATTATTATATTATCTTATGCCACGTTAGACCCCTAATTAAAGATTGTGAAATTATTATGTAGTTTTCACTGAGCATGAGCTTTATCCAGAACTGATTTGGTTCATCTGACTGTTCTTTCGGCGAGGCCGTTGCTTTGTGGATGCAAAGGGCTTGAGGTTATGTGGACAAAGTCCCATGTGACTGCGAAGTCCTTGAACTCTCGAGAACTGTACTGTGGGCCATTATTTGAAATAAGCCTCTCTGGTATACCATGTCTGGCAAATATAGCCTTGAGCTTTTTGATGACTGACCCTGCAGTAGTGGAGAATAGCCTTTCGAGCTCAAAGTAGCGGCTGTAATAGTCTACAGCTACTATGTAGTCTCGTCCGCGCCAGGTGAAGAGGTCTGAGGCCACGGCCTGCCATGGTCTCTCAGGCATGAGAGGTGGAATGAGAGGTTCTTTAGGGTTCGCTGCACACCTTTACTGACATATAGAACAGTTCTACACTGTGGTAGCAATGTCTTTGCCCATGCCTGGCCAAAAGAGGGCATCCCTAGCTCCCTGCTCACTACACTCGATCCCGATGTGCCCAATGTGGATTCTCTCCAGCATATTGTTTCTCAGGGCTGTTGGCACTATGTTTTTGTCACCTTTGAAGATGATGCTATGGTAGTGCAAATATGTGTCATATGTCATCAGTAATGGCACTAGGTTAATTTGGGATGGAGCACCCTGCAGCTGTAGTACAATCTGCTCTATCCCCTTTACAGCAATGCCAGCTGCATACAGCCCTGAATAATTGCTCTTTACCAAAAAGCTGTAACATCACACAGCAGCAGGATTTATAGCATAAATAATCAAAGTTTCAGCCGTGAAACTAAAGGCAGCATGCTCAGGATTAATCCAATATCATCAGAGCTGTCGCCACATTTTTGTTTTCAGGGAGAGTCCACTTATTATTTGTTAAGAACCACAGTACTTTCCCAAATGATGATATCAGGTTTTTTTTTTATCTTTAATTATATGCCAAGGACAAAAATGACATATTTTGTACCATGAGATACTCCTCTTCACACAGCACATTTGTGGTGCAGGTGTAGTAAAGCAGGAATGTTTCTCAAGCTTCCCAGATGGAAGAGTTTAGTGTTCCTGTTGTGTCTAATTTACAAATTTATGCATTGATTGTTTCCAAAAATGTATTCGTAAAGGAACCGTACGAGCTTGTTTTCATGCAAGCAGAGCAGGTCCACAAGGCCTGAATATAGTAGACTCCTGTTTTTTAGGAACAAATTAGTCCCAGTACACAAACCTGTCAGTCCACTGGGTTTCAAAAATCTGCTTTTTCAGAGAAAGAATTAAACATTTTCAACAACTCATTCTGAGCTTTTTCAAGTGGATCAATACAAGTGGTGCACATAATGACAGGAGGGATTTTATTCCCCTTGAATTAGTCAAGCTTCCAACGCTGCACTTGTCACTTACCTTAATGACCCAAATCCCATAAAACGTTTCAGGCTGAGGGTGTGTCATTAAGTCGTTACAGGCTTTTAGGAAGCAGAAAGTCAATTTGCAGCGATGGCAAGAACAGTAATTCAATAACGTTCCGTGTTTGTTTTACATTTAGGCCTTTCTTTGCATTTGCTTTCATACTTCTGTTCTCTGCTGTTATGATTGCTATGATATCCTGGCTTAGGGGTTACTAGTCTCGGCTTCAAGGCTATGCAGCTGCTCTCCCTGCTGTTATAATACCCACACAGCGCAAAGGCTGGAGACCATAAAATGTGGAGAATCTGTCAGAGTGTGGGCCTCATCCACGAATAACTGACCGCATGTGAGGAAATGCTATTTCAACATAAAAATTACTTCATGTTGTGCTCATGAACATACTCGAGCATCTTTCTATAACAATGTCAATATTTGGACGTCGCAAGGCAGCTACTTCTGCTTTTTGTATATGTTTGGTAAAGGCTTACCGTGTCAGAAAAAGCTGAACAGTAAACATTGCACGATTGTGTATTTCTTGTGGTAACATTTTACTCAGAAAAGGTAACACTCTTCACTTGCAAAAACTCTGTCAGATGTGTAGTTACAGCAGCAGTATGCACACATCATCATCATCATACAGGCAGATAATTTAAGTTTTCAGTGCTACAAAAAAATGTGTACAGTGTAACATGTTGTCCGGTAAGGATTGACATTTTTGTAGTGGCAGTTAATCAATAACACCAGCACTCACTAGTTTATTCATACAATAAGAAAAAACACTTTGTGATGGGAAATGTAAAAATAGCCACAGTAATAAAATTCCACAAGTAACTGAAACAAGTGCTCAAAGTTCAGAGGTCAAATGCAGTTTTTTGAGCAGCATCAGAACACTTGGTAGATTTCACAACATTTTGCACTGCGGGTGAACCTGCAGGTTTGAGGCATTAATGACAGAGATGATGCTCAGCATTCAGCATTATAGAGATTCCTGAGTGATAAATGACACCTGTGCATATTTAGGTCAGCCTTAAGAAGGCCTACTCCTAGTAGGATGAATAAAAGAGAGTTAAAATAGATATCACTAATGCTAAGTGCTTTGGTTTATTACAGGAAGTACTAACATATCATGTCATCATGTCTGGTTTAATAATAACCCTAATAACTAAAAATGCTTTAATATTTACAGTGGGGCAAAAAAGTATTTAGTCAGCCACCGATTTTGCAAGTTCCCCCACCTAAAATGATGACAGAGGTCAGTAATTTGCACCAGAGGTACACTTCAACTGTGAGAGACAGAATGTGAAAAAAAAATCCATGAATCCACATGGTAGGATTTGTAAAGAATTTATTCGTAAATCAGGGTGGAAAATAAGTATTTGGTCACCTCAAACAAGGAAAATCTCTGGCTCTCACAGACCTGTAACGTCTTCTGTAAGAAGCTTTTCTGTCCCCCACTCGTTACACACGAGTGGGGGACAGAAAAGCACAGTAGCTGGTATTTTGGCCCATTCCTCCATGCAGATCTTCTCGAGAGCAGTGATGTTTTGGGGCTGTCGCCGAGCAACACGGACTTTCAACTCCCGCCACAGATTTTCTATGGGGTTGAGGTCTGGAGACTGGCTAGGCCACTCCAGGACTTTCAAATGCTTCTTACGGAGCCACTCCTTTGTTGCCCGGGCGGTGTGTTTTGGATCATTGTCATGTTGGAAGACCCAGCCTCGTTTCATCTTCAAAGTTCTCACTGATGGAAGGAGGTTTTGGCTCAAAATCTCACGATACATGGCCCCATTCATTCTGTCCTTAACACGGATCAGTCGTCCTGTCCCCTTGGCAGAAAAACAGCCCCATAGCATGATGTTTCCACCCCCATGCTTCACAGTAGGTATGGTGTTCTTGGGATGCAACTCAGTATTCTTCTTCCTCCAAACACGACGAGTTGAGTTTATACCAAAAAGTTCTACTTTGGTTTCATCTGACCACATGACATTCTCCCAATCCTCTGCTGTATCATCCATGTGCTCTGTGGCAAACTTCAGACGGGCCTGGACATGCACTGGCTTCAGCAGCGGAACACGTCTGGCACTGCGGGATTTGATTCCCTGCCGTTGTAGTGTGTTACTGATGGTGACCTTTGTTACTTTGGTCCCAGCTCTCTGCAGGTCATTCACCAGGTCCCCCTGTGTGGTTCTGGGATCTTTGCTCACCGTTCTCATGATCATTTTGACCCCACGGGATGAGATCTTGCGTGGAGCCCCAGATCGAGGGAGATTATCAGTGGTCTTGTATGTCTTCCATTTTCTGATGATTGCTCCCACAGTTGATTTTTTCACACCAAGCTGCTTGCCTATTGTAGATTCACTCTTCCCAGTCTGGTGCAGGTCTACAATACTTTTCCTGATGTCCTTCGAAAGCTCTTTGGTCTTGGCCATGGCGGAGTTTGGAGTCTGACTGTTTGAGGCTGTGGACAAGTGTCTTTTATACAGATGATGAGTTCAAACAGGTGCCATTCATACAGGTAACGAGTGGGGGACAGAAAAGCTTCTTACAGAAGACGTTACAGGTCTGTGAGAGCCAGAGATTTTCCTTGTTTGAGGTGACCAAATACTTATTTTCCACCCTGATTTACGAATAAATTCTTTACAAATCCTACCATGTGGATTCATGGATTTTTTTTTCACATTCTGTCTCTCACAGTTGAAGTGTACCTCTGGTGCAAATTACTGACCTCTGTCATCCTTTTAAGTGGGGGAACTTGCACAATCGGTGGCTGACTAAATACTTTTTTGCCCCACTGTATATTTAAGTAAATTTTGACATACAACATGCATATACATTTTACTATTTAAAACATGCAGTTGAAGTGTAAATTTCCACCTAGCACAAATAATTTAAAAAACTGTATATTAACTTTTATGAGTGGACTACTCAGACAGGATCTTTAATTTTATACACTTCCCTATTAATCCACTGAAATGCCCTATATGGTCACGCTGGTTAGTATTACTTTAACCAAGCTATTGTCTTCATAGGACTGTATGTACATGTGAAGGCAGTTCCTCACAACAGATTACTGAGGATATACTCATATGCAGTGCAAATCAAATCAAATCACTTTTTTTTTTATTGTGTGTGTGTGTGTGTGTGTGTGTGTATACACATTTTTACAAATTAAATAGTAAAAAAATAAAATAAAATAATAATAATAATAATAAAATATATAAAATATACAGAGTTGAATATGTGCAAAACAAGTGGCATTTATATACAGTGTGGAGTGCATAATGTTGAAGTTCCAGTAGTGAAGCTGAGGTGTCTATGACGTGTTCAGCAGTCTGATGGCCTGATGGAAAAAGCTGTCTCTCAGTCTGCTGGTACGGGACCGGATGCTGCAGAACCTCCTTCCTGATGGAAGCTGCAAGACATCCTTAAAAGGAAGTCTCTATTTTCAATAGAAGGTTGTTTAAAAACTCTGAGCTGACCTTGTAGTATAAAAAAAATAAAAAAGGAAAAGCACCTTCACTGAAACATTGCAGGAACAAAAAGGTCGTTACAATTTAAGTGTCTTAATCTTCGAATAAAAACCAACAATAAATGCCCATAACTGTAAGGTAAAAACAATCACTGGACATGTTCTCTGTGCCTCTTCTCTAATCTAATATAAAATCATACACAGAGCTCATATAACAGGATCAATTACATAAAAGAGGTCTGGCATGAGTATGAACAAATACACACCAACCTTTAACAGTGGCTACAAAAACAGCCCTCTATAACTGGAAAGATAAAAACCATCCTTCAGTAATAGTATCAAACAAGAGGCACCTGAAAACCTTAATAAACACTCATTTAGCAGTATCACCTGGCGTCCTGTGGAAAATAACCCAAGAAATAACTATACATGCACACAAGAAAAATATTTACATTTAATAAGCAACCTCCCGCCTACATTAGTGCCCCAATCTGTAAACTAATCATCTTTTAACAAGGAAGAAAATGTAAAAATCTTTGAACTGCATGTCAGCTACTCACTAACTCTGTTTAGTAACTGTGGTGTTTACTGAGTGCTGTGTGTTTACTACCTAGTAAATGTCATCTGATGACTTCAAATTGTCAGCACTTCTTCCCCAGCTAAAAACACCTATGTGGGTGGATGAGTGGGTGAGTGAGTCAAGTATCACAGAGACAGATTATTTCTCCATTATAGGCAAAAAAATCATTCTAGCGCCAGCAGTAGTAGTAGTACTAGTACATGTTGTTGTGTTTGGGGTGCCAGAGTCAGAATTTGTCAGTCTCTTCTGGATAAATACAGGGCAAAAGGTAGATATGTAAACATCTTTAAACCCTGAGTTACAGAAACAGTAAATCAACGGGTCCAGCAGGCAGTCGCTGTAAGACAAAACCATGAGGGCGTCGTACACCTGGACAGCTATGTTTTCTGCATCCTGCCAGTTCTTCAGCCGCACAAACAGCAGTGCTGCTCTAGTTATAGTGCAGGGAAGGAAGCAGAAGGAGAAGACAACGACAACAGATGTGACTAAGCACACAGCCCTCCTCAGCTTAGTCTTCTCCCCAACCGTCTTCTTCCTCAGCCGGCTGACAATGCGGACCGTGCAGTAGACGAGGATGATGTAGGGGATGATGATTTGGGAGAAGAAAACAATCTTACAAAAACAAAATAAACAAAAACCCCACTATTAGGTATGACTCGTTACAATAGCCCTATGTGTCACACAGTCAACTTGGATTTCTATACAGACATGGGAAAGTTTATCATGTACACTCCTAACTTAAACACTCTGTCTTCAATCATGGACTAATATTTTGACCCCTTTAAACCCCTCCTTAGCTTCTCCAGCTAACCCCCTGCCTTTTACTTAAGTTATGATGTTAAGTTAGAAATGTAAACGATTCAAATTAATTCTTTCTTTCAAGAATAACTGGTGATTATCTGTTGATTTTTGTTTTTCTAACATTAGTTAACAGTTGTCTGGTCTCTAAGATTTCCAAATATTGTGAAAAGTGTCTATAGAAGCGTTTATCTTTATCTGCACACGTTCCACATCTCATCCCATCACTGGTCCAGACCCTGAAAATCCTGTGTTTATTTCAAAAGTTACATAAACAAAGGAATATTAATAATTAGGACAAAGAGAAAAAAAACGTGCTTAATAATAAATGTAAATGATTCATGAAAACTTTTGTTTATACGCTGTCTCCAATTTTTACTTCAGAAAAACTCTAATTCGGTTCTGCCACGCCTGGGTGAGTGTATCTATGTCTTGTGGAAAGGAACTGCCAGTTAGGGAACTGAACTGGATATTGACTGTAATGCCAGCTTTATAGGAAGTTGAAGCAGTTGTGTTAATCTCTGCTGTTCTTCTTAAATGTTCAAATATAAATATTAAAGTTTTTTTGAATCCAAATCCACCCGTTTTCTTTCTGGAGGCTGGAGGCCATCTGATCTGTCAGAGCGAGGCAGCGAACAACCTGTTTTTAGTCAGTTGTCATCAGTATATATTGTTAGGTAACATAAAACAACACTAAATCCAAACAAATACATTGAAACCGTACCTCTCTAAAGGTGTCCGTCACATCATGTAAGAATGTCTCCTTTTCCCGTCCGTGGCTGTTGCAGCACTCAAAGGTTGTGACCATAGTAGGAGTGGTGAGGGGAAGCAAGAGGATCCAGATGACGACAGAAATCTGAGGAGATTTCTTAAACACGTTGACAAAATTTCTCCTTCCAAGATGGACCACATTGAAGTAGCGATCGAGGGACATTGTGATGAGGAAGGCGATGCTGGCTCCTCGATTGAGAAACAGCATGAAGAGCATTATCTTACAAAGCACAGTGCCCTCACTGCGCCTCAAGTTGTGCTGGTAATGATGGATCTTGAAAGGAAGGCAGCCCACCAGCAAGAAATCAGCAACCACAATATTGAACAAGAAGATCGCTTTGTTCTTCCAGAACTTGTATCTAAAAAGGTCATATAACAGTTAATTGTTTCACAGCCAGCGAGTTTGCTTTGTATCAAGAGCGAATGAAGAGGAACAGGAAAAAAATAAACCTAAGCTTATGATGCTGTTTCTGCCATCTACACGACCTCGTCCTCTCCTCGGAGAGCTGAGTAAAATGTTGGACAGTCGCACTCAGACTCATGTCAGATAAACTCTTCAAAACTCATAGACCAGCGTGGGAACATATGTAGGTTTTACTTTGTAGCGACTTGCAAGGTCTGCTTTTTTGTTTTGTTTGCACTTCAGTGTAACACTTACAGCTTAGCTTTTTTGTTCTACACTTTCTATTTTAACTTTTCAAGAACAAAATTGGATTCATCTGTCCATTTCAAAGGTTTAATAGAGTTTTGGTAGGTCTTGTTATTTTCATGGCATCTGAATTGGTTGCATCAGAGTGGTCACAGTCTTTTAAAGATAAACTTAAAACCGCTTTCTTCGCCACATCAGTAGCGCAGTTGGTTTACACTTCATTTAGCAAACTTTGCCCCCAGTAACCAGAATCCAGCACAGCTTTCCTCTTGGTTTTTACTAAAACGAGAATAAATGTAAACGAGTAAAAAGATTTCCCGTACCTGAAGATGAAGATGTAGAGAACGGACAGGTTGAGAGGCAGACCCAGTGTAAATTCTCCCACCATTACCCAGGAGAGGACTTGGTATGTAATGTCACTGGGTGTTTTGCAGTGGTCAACTGATCGATTTACAGACATGTTTTGTTGAATCATCATATAAATGGCAAAAAATGTCCACCTTCTATAGCAGATAAAGCTACGGTCAAATTAATATGTCGTATATTGAGAAAGCAAGCATTGCAGTTAAATCCCTTATCCTGGAGGTTGTTGTAGGTTCCTATGATCTCGAATCTTCACCCCTCAGGGACAGATGCTCCTTCTCACTCTCCTTCTAGTTCCTTAAATTGAACAGTCCCCTTAAGAGAGCCTTACAGTGATTGTGGACCTCTGTCAAGGCTGGTTTTTCCATGGCAAAAGATACGGAGGAAGCACACTCTCAATGCAGTGAAGGAGAAAGGAGAAAATGCCCTCTCTTAGCCTCTGTTTATGTGATGCTACCACGCTGGTTACTTGCGAAGAAGTATTTACATTCAGGAGGTGCTGGAGGTGTGGTTTAGGGAGCTCTACTCAACTGACTGAGAAACTAAGCATGAGAGTTACATTTATGAATCTTTCAATCTGCAAACTCTAAATTATTACTGCAAAAAAGGAATCTGACAGTAATTTCGATGTTACAGAGAGAGAGAGAGCTATTTGGAAACTGGTAGTTCAAGGTGGTTTTATCAGCAGACTGGCTAAACTCCTTGTGACATTCAGGGGACTGTCAATATGACAAAATCATGCTTGCACATTTGCAATATTATGTTTGGAGACATTCATGGAAAAAACATGCAAACACATATAAGTTTTACATTGCTATAAAGTGACAGATCAGTGTCTTTAGGTACACAGTTTTAGATTTGAGATTTTTCCTACGTTCAATAACCTGTTATGACAAAGTAATAACATTGTTTATGAATCTTTTTTAAATGTTAAAAAAAAATCATAAACCTGTGTCTTATTGACAGATACATTTGTTTGTCAAAGCCTCATTTGGCAGCAGCTACAGCCTTCTATGTTCAAGGGTTTTCAATCTTTGCACATCTGGATTCAGGCTGTTTGTTCCACTCTTCCTGACACATCTTTTCTTGCATTGCATGGAAAGCCAGTCTGACTGAGCTGCTACTTTATAGTCGCTGGCAGAGTCTGTATTTCAGCTCCATGCCAGCTAATCTAAGTTGGATTAATACTTATCAGTTTTCTTGATTAAACCTACTTTGGTTATGTCAAAGTGAGAGTTTGCCAGGGTCAGAATCAGGTGTTTTTGTTATTTGGTTGAAGGATTACGGGCAGTGCCAACCTATACCTCTATTTTATCAATATGTCACCGGTGCCACAGAAATAATGAGTGAAGGATCAGCTTCATAGCTTGGAAAGTGTGCACGTGATAATTATCTTCAAATGAAATCACCTCTTACTTTGTGCAATCTAATGTTGGAATTCCACATTTGTTTATGATTTCAAGCTTTTTTTTCCGTTTCAAAATGATTAAGACCATTGTGCTTCTGTGATACTGAAAGGTTTTGAAAGGTTCTGCATTCTGACCTGCTAATATTCTAAATGTTGTCTGTGCTGGTGTGCTGGCACACAGCGGGTTAAATGGTATCCACAGGCATGAATATTGTGTTTTTGGATTAGCTTTGTCATAGAGGAGGGATTTTTCCAGGCTGTATTCTTCCTCAGTTCCAGCTGGGATATTCTCCAGACCCAAATGACACTCTACAGGAATGGTATCATCATGAATTCATGCATGTTTGGTTAAGTGTTGTTGAGCATACATATAGGAAAACTGTACAACATGAAAGATACAACAAAAAAGTGAAGGGTTGTGAATACTTTTCAAAGAAATAGTTGTATGATTCATGGGGTGAGGTTGAGCCAGAATACAAGTTTGTCTGAAGATCTGATGAGTTTACACTGCATACATTTTGTTACAGTATATAAGAGGATTCTTTAAGGAAATATTACAGCTTTCTAATACAGACAGGAGTTCATCTTCAAGTACACCTTTGTTTGAACATACTAGAGAATTGCAAGCAGTGGAAAAGTCATGTCTATGCTTTAGGATGAGCATAAAGAGTCTTCTACAACTATGAAAACTCAGAGGAAATCATAGACAAACACTTTGGTCATTCTTACAAAATACTCCTTGCAAAAATCAACCTGAAAATGCATAACAGCGTTTTTGGTAACTAAGTCAACCATGCAATCTTGTCAAAGTCAACATACTTTGCTCTGTTCATGTTAACCGTTAAAGTAACCATTCCTCCTCCTCTCTAAAGCTGCCCTCTGCTGTAAAATACAAGAAAACTAATCATTTCAAACTTCAATATAAATTTGAATCCTATTAAGCCATGCACTGACATCTTTACTTCACTTTACTTAACTGTACTGCTGTGTCATTGTCTGACACAATGTTGCACAAATGAGCTATGCCACATGGTTTCTGCAACAGACACATGAACACAGTTGAGTACGTTTTGTGCTTTATGGCTTGTTGCACGTCTGACTGTAACAGTGCGAATTTTAACCCATTACAGCCATTGCAACGTGACTTTTCTATACCAATAATATGAGTGTATGTCATGGCCCAGCAGGCCTGCCTGAGGATGGTCAGCTGTGACAGTGTTTTTGTTGTTGTTACTCTCTCTCTTTCGCTCCTCCCAGGGCGGGACTCATTATGGGTTCCCACCTTTGGCTCACGCACCTGCAGGACATCTACAGTACCTACCTGCGCCCAATTACCTCTGTGTTCCTGTCACTACTTAAGACAATGAAGCTGTGCTACTCGTCACTGGATAGTTGTGCGACTTGCGTTAGTGTTGCCCCGGCATTTTGCCAACGATCCAACCTGTGCTCTCTTTCCAAATAGACCTCCTGGACCCATCCCTGTTTTATGGGTAAAACAGGGATGGGTTGGTATGTCTGGCAGATCACGGTGTGTGGCTATAGAGGATTAAGTGTGACGTATTACTGAATATAGTAATACAGTACTTTTATTTAATATAGTACTTTATTTAATTGCATAATTACTACCAGTAATTTGTTATACTATTTGTTACGTTACTTTTATGTTACTCTGTAAAATAGCTCAAGCACAGTTTGCCATAATCACTATTTAAAAACATAAACCTGAGGCTACAACCCCACAGACTAAAACAATTGCTTAATGAGGTGACACATCTTTAAAATCGTTTTCGTAGTGGAATACAAAGCTGACTGGACAAAGCAAAGATGAAAACCAGAACAAAAAAGCGATCGCCAGGGATTCTGCTTTGGAAACGTGAACAGGAAGAGAGGGAGGCTGCAACCTGACTGCTCATCTGCTTTGTTACCTGTTGAAGTTGAGGGTCTGGCCCCTGGGGTCGGCATTCACTCAATTTTCACTCTGGGTTCTTGGCTAGCTTAGCGTTAGCATGCATCTTGGCAGATGCTTGTAAAGAAACTGAAGTTATCTTAGCAGCATAATGCAGCTGTTTCTGTCCTGGGTGCAGTTTTACACTTCCACTCTAGACTGCGCCATTATTTTTCGCTTCTTAGACGTGAACACAAATCAGGTGATTTACAGTGGGATGCAAAAGTTTGGGCAACCGCTTCCTGTAGGTTCCAATGAGAGTCTGGATTGTGGTTGAAGGTATTTTGGACCATTCCTCTTTACAAAACATCTCTAGTTCATTCAGGTTTGATGGCTTCCGAGCATGGACAGCTCTCTTTAACTCACACCACAGATTTTCAATAATATTCAGGTCTGGGCTGAGATGGCGGTTCCAGAACGTTGTACTTGTTCCTCTGCATGAATGCCTTAGTGGATTTTGAGTAGTGTTTCCAGAATGAAGCTGGCTTGTCCAAATGTGCTTTGGCGGCTCTGTTTGTGCTGTGGGCGGAGAAAAGGCTTCCTCTGCATCACTCTCGCATACAGCATCTCCTTGTGTAAAGTGCGCCGAATGGTTGAACGATGCACAGCGACTCCATCTGCTGCAAGATGATGTTGTAAGTCTTCGGTGCTGGTCTGTGGGTTGACTCTGACTGTTCTCACCATTCATTGCTTCTGCTTATCCGAGATTTTTCTTGGTCTGTCACTTTGAGCCTTAACTTGAACTGAGCCTGTGGTTTTCCATTTTCTCAGCATGTTCCTAACTGTGGAAACAGACAGCTTAAATCTCTGAGACAGCTTTCTGTGTCCTGCCCCTAAACCATGATGGTGACAATCTTTGTCTTCAGGTCATTTGAGAGTTGTTTTGAGACCCCATGTTGCTACTCTTCAGAGAAAATTAAAAGAGGAGGGAAACTTACAATTGACCCCCTTAAATACTCTTTCTCATTACTGGATTCACCTGTGTATGTAGGTCAGGGGTCACTGAGCTTACCAAGTCAATTTGAGTTCCAATAATTAGTTCTAACGGTTTTGGTATCAATAAAATGACAACAGTGCCCAAATTTATGCACCTGCCTGAATTTGTTTAACCAATTATTGCAAACTTTCTGTAAATTCAAAAAACTTCATTTCACTTCTCAAATATCACTGTGTGTGTCTCCTATATCAGCGGTCCCCAACCCCCGGGCCTCGGACAGGTACCGGTCCGTGAGTCGTTTGGTACCGGGCCGCGAGAGTTGAGGCTCAGGTGTGAAATGTATGGTTTTCAGGGTTTTTATCAGTTTTCAGCGTTATTTTGTTATCGTTAACTCTGTTTTCCTGGGTCTTTTCACATGTGTTATGAATAAATCTTCTTTTTTCGGTACCGGTAATAGTTTTATTTTATTGTATTTATCCGCGACACCTTAAAGGCCGGTCCGTGAAAATATTGTCGGGCATAAATCGGTCCGTGCAAAAAAGGTTGGGGACTGCTGTCCTATATGATATATTTAACTGACGTTTTTTATTGTAACAACCAACGATTTATACAGGAAAATAAGTGTTAACAAGGTTGGCCAAACTTTTACATCCCACTGTGAGTGTGAGTGCAAGAACCGATAAGCGGGACTGAGATCAAGCAGACAATTGGAGCAGGAAGCAGGAATTGGACTAC